ATATATACTATACTATATATATATATATATATATATATAATATATATATATAGGAAAACTCTACAACTGCACAGTGCAAGGGCATTTTAAGTTTAGGTAGTTTATTCGGGAACTTATTATTTACGTCGTACCGAAAACGCGGTTAGCCATTGAGGTTGTTAGTCTTTCGAGAGTTCCGTATAAATTTTTTCTATTTTTGTTTCCCATTCGTGGTGCGTGCGTGCGTTGGTGCGTGTGCGAAATTTTGTGCTGTCTAATGACTGTGGCAGTAGAACCGATGGAGAGAGGTGACATTTGTACATGTGATGGCTGGCAGCCGTTATTGACAGTCAGGCTGCTCCGGTGCTTATTGATTTTTCGTGCAGCTGCAGCTGCCTCCCCTTGGAAATGAGCGCTTGGATTCTTCCCGATTTTGCCCAGTCAGAATGTTCAGTTGCAAGCAGCCATTTTGTCGTTGATTTTTATTGCCGTTATTGGGCGTATCCCTAGCAGGTTTTTGGTGCAAAGAGTGCAAAATTTGTGCAGGTGCTGTGGATATGGTGTGGTTTGAGCCAAGATGGATAGCTGGCCGTGAATAAGAGGGCTAGGTGGCTGTAAAAGGTGTGTGAGTAATTGCATAATATACGTTCGGTCTCATATCAATTCATTTACACTACCGGCATAATTATGTTTCTCCACTGTGTGTTGGGTCTCATTTGTTGGTATAACCTACCTGGACTATAAATTTAGTATCCAATGTAGATTTCATTGTTTTGGGTAAGGAAGTTTGTGTCGTATGAAGACACGGACCATGACTGTGGCTTGAATTGGGGTGGTGTTGCAAACCTGTTTACAGATATTTGTATTTTTATTTTTAGTGTAATTAGAGCAAGTTCCCTTCCACGTGTTATAGGTTAATGCACTGCTGTGTGCTATACTTGTCACAACGAGTCCCACAAATGCAACTTTCTCATACATATGTATATGTCGGTACTTGTGAATATAACATAAAAGAATAGAATCATACTCTAATTTATATTTCCTATGTTGTATAGAAATATGTGTTTCGATCATAATTATTTCCATTGTTTTCATGGCCATAAATGACTGTTCCAAAAATGTGTATATACACTGTATTTTAATGACATGTAATTCACTATTATCTGTGCCTAAATATGTCTAAGAATATCATAGTTTCCCAACTTCACTTACCCAATACGATGTGGAGATTGTGCAGATTTATATTCCGTACCATGAGTTTACCCATATAGACCTAACGTCAGTTGAGAGCATGTATGCAGAGGTAGTGAGGTACAGTGCAACATTTTGTTAATACTAATACTGAATAGACAACAGGAAAGGAGTTTTAGGCATTTCCTTCTTGGATGTACCTAGTACACATAGGTTGCAGAGGAAGAGGAAGGTCTATGTACATGCCAGTTGACAGTACTATTTATGACATGTATACATGTCTATAAGTGCACTTTATATTATAAACTAAAACAATAACAGTGTGATTGTGTCTGTTTATGATCATTCTATTATTCTGTCTAATGGTAGAGAATCCATTTGTTATAAATTTATGGGTGCCATTACAAATACACGTTACTGATGATTTGCCATCTTTGTATTTTTCAGATTTTGTAATTTAACAAAATGAGTAGTGAACTAGAGCAACTACGGTCAGAAGCAGAAGCTCTAAAAAATCAAATTAGAGTAAGTATGGTGCATTCTGTTCTTTATAAATCCATTATTACTATTAGACCATCCTTTATAATGTGCTACTGTGCAATCACAGTCATCAAGTAGATACTGCTGTTACTATCTCCACCAATACTAGTACTACTACTGCTACAACTACAACAGATACAACAGAGGGGTTTGATTGACATGGTTGCGTGTTTTTCCAATTGCCCCGCCCAATTTGTGCTTCAATTGGTGATGAGCTAATGCAGTTTTGCCATATAAAATGGCTTATTAGTTATTATAATCAATTGCTATAGCAACTTGAGTGTATGGTATATAGCCACTCTGCAATCAATTTCCAGTTACAAAAAAAACTTCCAGTAAAATGTTACGTGTTAACATGATTCATGTTACACCATGGATCCTATTCAGTACACTTGCCACATAGTACTATTTTCTCATGGCCCTGGTACTGATGTCAAAGATTAATTTGGGCATGCCACATGGTAACTGCCAATTACATTGAGCATTGATTATGTAGGTACTGACCTGATCCATACCATAGTCACTAGACACTGCATCTGCAGTGCCCTCCCAATTACCCAAATGCTAAATTAAATAGATCTAACAGTTGCTTTAATTCCTAGTGACAGGTTTGCTAAATATAGTTGGGGATAATTGGGAGCAGACTTGCAGAGGCTAGCCCTAATGCAGGATAACTTGCTAAGCCTTCAGAATAGGCTAATTACCATCTAGAGGAAATCGCAATTACTTCTCTGATCTCCATGCCAGCAGTGTCCGGTGCGTTGCATTTAGAGGCGGAAAATCAACGGTGGTCGTAGGGTAGCCAATCCACAATGTTACTCCACACGTAATGATCAATTAATTAATGTGTGGAGCATCTGGGGCTAGTGTGTGATTATAGGAATGTGTGGCATTAGATATGCAAATTATCCTAGCTAGAAATCTGCGGATGGGTGACTGCCGTGCTGAAACGATATATATATACAATCCCTAGTTTCAAGTGGATGTTGCTCAGTGCACGGTACCACTAATGTACGCAGTATGTTAAGTAAATGAGATCCATTTTAATCTGTTCCTCTAAGATATTTTACCAATCTTTTAATGGTTTATTTTCACCCATCATTTCTTAAGACAAGGTACAGTGCAGATCTGTGTACTGGTATATATTTACATGAAGGCATAATTTTCCATATGACAAGCACTGTTTTTTAGGTGTGAAAAAATCGTTTCTTTAGTAAGTACTGTATGCAGCAGCTACACTAAAAAATGTTTTGGCACGCAATGGGTTTCTAACCATTTATGTGTTGCCTAAGCTATTTTTTGACATACATGTGTGATTAGCAATTGCAACTATTAAAACAAAAATATATTAGCTTTTAATACATCCCATGCAGTAGCAAGTTTCATTTGCACTATGTTCACAGAGACTAAAACATTTGCAGAATTAAACTCTACCCCCTATATTTTACGAATGAACTGCCTTAGTTCATGCAAGTCATATATAGTTTCAGGGTGTGATGGTTCAAGATGTTAGAACTTGAACATTGAATTTGTGAATGCACACTATCTATCATATATGATAATATGTGTTCAGGTACACCGATTTTATCACAGTTGATAATCCATTATCTCTTTTGCGGTCAAAATTGCGTTCTCGTCGGGATTGTTACACTGCACTTGTTGGAGGTGATCCCTTGATTTTGTGAGATTTTTTTAGCTTGTTTTGCTTAGATTTAACCCTAACTGTATATTTTCTAAGAGGATTGAAAATATCTTATTATAATTACCTTAACTTATTATAATGAAAATGAACCCGGTCAGATAGTCAACGAAAGCAACCCAGGCAATGCCAGGTCCCCACTAGTCAATTATGAATGAGGTTTTTTTACATGAAAGTTCGTAAATTGTGTTGTTTGCCCCAGCCATTAGTAGTTTGCAAATAGCTTTCCCTTGCATGCGCATCATCGCTTGTTGCACCCCAATTGATCGCAGCGTCCACTGTCGTCTAGTTAGAAAGTTTTTCTGTGGTGGTGACAGTGTTGGTGGCTGTGGTGGTGGCAGAGGTGGCGGTGGCGGTGGCAGTGACATTGGTGGAGGTCTGCATCAGTCACATGTTATTATCATCGTAACACTGCATCATTCTTGTAGCGACAAATTGCCCCATCCAAATACATCCCTAGTTATTTACTTTCACCCATTACACAATGTCTTATGTACATACATGTACATCTATTATCACATATTTTTCTGAATAAACACTGGATTTATTCTACCAGTGTCTAATTTCAATTAAGTGAGCTAAAGCAAGTGAGGTAGGCCACCTCAGAGTAAAGTAAAGTAAGAGCTACTTTAAAGTCATCTATGAAATGGTCGTTATCTATTTCCAGTCCAGAATGTGTTAAAAATGTCACAAATTTTCTAAGGTAAATTTTGTATATATAAAAAGCTCATTTTTTTACATTAAAAGTAAGAACTAACAGGACTAAACGTATCGTCAAATTCTTACCTGATAAGATTGTTTCTCAACTAGTTAAAAATTCAAAAAACTTGGACGATTTGATATTAATGTTCCCAACATTAATTGCTTGCTATGGGCTATGTATGCGTCACAAGTGTATGTTCACATCGAACAATATAGTAAAACAGGAAGTATAATGCACCAATTTAACCATAAAAAGTGAACAGAATTACTTATATTTTGTGAAAAAGTGGAAATATTTTTTTTATTTTAATATTTACGGTGACGTAATCACTTTAACCGTTTGCTTTCCCCTGTTAGAACCAGCAGGTTCAGCTGAAGTTGCTTAGGTAGGGTTCCTTGGATAAGCGCTACTACCGTGAACAGATATGTGAACGATAGTGAACATTTGCCATCCGTTTCAAGTCCAGATACACATCACCTTGTTGGCTATGTGGTATTGTGGTAACAGTAAACAGGGGTAGAAATTAACTTTGAACACGGGAGTCCAACGACTCCCTAGGTACCCTCAAAAAAAGGGAGTCCGCAGTGTGAGGTTCAAAATTATAGATCTATACTAACTGTAACGCGTGTGCTTATTTTTAAGATTCATGCGGGTGCACGTCTGACAAATTTTCTTTGGACATTAGCTGAAAAAACTACGGTAATTCCGCGAGGCCGTGCTCTGGAACGAACTAGTTAGTATGGCAGAATTTTCAGGAGTCACACGGACTTCTGCATATATGTCAAATCAGGGAGTCCGGCAGTAAATCGGGGAGTATTTGACTTCGGACTCGCGTTAATTTTGCACCCTGCTGTAAATGTACGCGTGCTGTTTCATTCATTGTGGCAGGATGCACGAAAAGCAGCATGTGATACATCGCTCACCGCTGCCACGGCGAACATGGAGCCGGTCGGTCGCATTCAGATGCGGACGCGGCGAACACTCAGAGGACACCTTGCCAAGATATACGCCATGCACTGGGGTACAGATTCACGGTAAGACAAGATAAGCAGCCAAAACAGAACCTGTGTGTGTTTTCCTGTTAGAAATGTGCCCAGGCCACAATTAAAAAAATCTTTGTTTGCCCTCACCCGACCCAGGCTGAAAAGTTTGGGTAAGTAGGTCGGCTTTTTTTGAGGGCGTGGGTCTTTTTACAAATTCAGCATGGTGTCTACATGCTCGGGTGTGCTTGTGTGCAGATACCTTTTCTGTTGAATGTTTGCTTTGCTTGGTGCATAATATGTATTGCCTACTGATTTATATAAGGTACAATGATACAATTTGTTTTAAAAAAAAATAGAAAAAAAAGATCAATAACATTTTTGAGTCGGCCCGTTTTTGGCAGGTCGGTCGGGTGAGGGCAAACAAACAATATTTTTATTATGGCCCCATTTATCATGTGTTTGAACGTCTTAGATTTGAATCTAACCATTAATATGCCTCAATAAAGCTCAGGTGTAACATTAATGTAATCTCATCTTTGATTGAAAGAGTATGTGTTGCAACAGTATATAGTACATGTACAAGTAACAATGTTTGAGTGATCTTTTTTCTAATAATTTTCAGAAATTTGGTATCGGCATCACAGGACGGTAAATTAATTGTTTGGGATTCATATACAACAAACAAGGTGAGCAAGTTTTATGTTAACAATAATTCGCTAAAGTAATGTGGACATGATGAATGTAATCATCGCAATGATAGTTAATTGGTGAGCTGCAATACTGATGTAGTTTTGTAGAACAAGTACATGCTCAGATTGCTAAATCAGTATCTGGCTGTGGATGCAATTATCCTGGACGTGCATAGAAATTGTACAAAACCTACTGGGAAGTGGTGCCTGTATTTGTGCTTGAGTTCTATTTGTGACTGAGAAGTGACAGCCAGCCAGGAGACACTGGGGGTTATGACAAAATTCCTAGCACTGACAACTCGAACACTTGCAGTTTATTGATTGAGGACAGGACCAGGTTCACTTATATCTGCGTATAGAAGGTTACACTGGTGTTTCTTTGGTAGGTGAATGAATCTTATGTTATTACACAGCTTACGAGTTGTAGCCTCACATATATATATTTACGTGAAATGTTGGCATTTTATGTACACTTCAAAAAGTTAGTTTGATGTTTTTAGGTAGCATCTCTGTTATGAAACGGATGAGTGCCTGCATGCAGCAGTGTGCTAATGCAGAAAAGCGCATAACCTCACGTTTATTTTATGGCCGCTCGCTTCTTGCCAGGGGATTTTTAGAAGGCAGATAAATCACAGCATAAAGCACTGAAAATGGTTCAACTGTCTGTGGGTGTGCGTGCGTGTTTGATGTGCACATATTGAAATCCATCGTCAAACTAGTTTATCCTCATTTCTCCGGTGTTTCTTTCATTATAATTAATAGCAAGTAACATCATTAATAGAGGGTACCGTAGTGACAGGCGACTGCGTGGCCCACAACTTGCAGCATGTTTTCGGTGCAAGAGCTCTTGCCGGGTGCCGTACAGTTGGCTTTTCAAATCGTCTGGTGGAAACTATCGTGCGTGTGCTGCCTCACCCTGCCAAAAATTAGTGGCTGATGCTATTTTTGGCCAGCTTTCAGCCAAAAGTGGATCTGCACATGTCCTCCCCGCCTGTGAAATGGCTGGAAATACGTGCTGTAGAGTTGAATGTTAAGAGTGCATGCTAGTGTTTTGGGGGGGTCACCTGCTAGCTTTGGATGGAGGTTGGGCCATCTTGTTGTGAAATTCGTGAAGATTCTAACTGTCAACATTCGTCACGTCAACCAGCATAACACTGTATTAAAAATCCCAAGCCATTTCTTGAAAGAAAATGATAATTTTGTACGTATGCCAATACAATGGGGCTTGAAGTCATTGTGTCTCAGATTCACATGGGTGCTCATATTTTAAATGTTTACCTGTGAAACCATATGTGTTAGCCGAATATAAACATGTAAGTCTGATTATTCAATAGGGAATGAAATAAACATATTTCCTGGTTGGTTGCCATGGTAACTGCAGAGTTAGATGGATAGCATTCTGAGGCTAAATTGTAATTTTAACTTGTGACGGTGTATACCAAGTGCTTTGTACATGCAGTTTGTGACACTTGATCTTCTATGCGTCACAGGTTCTATAGATTTATAGTTGTTCTTAAAAAGCAGTAATTTGTATTACATCATTTTGGGGGTCAAATTACCAGTATTACACAACCAGCCCTCGACACTAACGGGTGTCCAATTGCCCGGGACAAGTGGAGGTCTACGTCGGACAAGTTATTCTCTTGGCTAGTTGCCCGATCAGACAACTAAAAAATTTCCAGTTGTGTAAAATTCCTAACATCTGTTGAGCCAGGGCGCTATCGCACGACACTTCTTACGTTATATTTTCTAAATTCGCTGAAAAGAATGCACATTGCGACACTCGTGCTGCGTACATGCCTGCTGGCTGGGGCGAATTGATTGAAGTGCAGGGGGGAGTGCACACCAATTGTTTCAGTCGCGTGAGGCATGCTCATTACTGAATATGTAGGGGGGTGGGCACCGCTTGTATGAGAGTCAGAGAGAGCGACAGCAAAACTTTTTCCTGGAATTGATTAAAAAAAAAGCTGCAATCGGCATGCAGAAATAAACGTTGTGTGAATTTCATTACGATTTTCCATGTACTGTAATATGATATGCACTGAACTAAAAATATATCTTAATGGGTCACTGTCGTCTACTGTCTGTAGTCTGGATTGCAAGTAAATTTTGGACAAGTAAAACCAAAATTCGGACAAGTAAAAATTGCTTCTTGTTGCCCGACAAGACAACCCGATCTGAAAATAAGCGTCGAGGCCTGACAAAATTACTGTATTGAAGCTACATCACCTCTGTAGGTTTACATAATATAGGACACTCACTAAATATTATTCTAATTTGTCTGTTTATTGAGCTAAATTAATAGTCCACAATCAGGTGTTTTATTGGTGAAACCATTATTATTACCAGACAGCAATCAATTCTGATGGTCAGTGTTAAATTAAAATCGGTATAGTAGCGTGTGTGCAGAAGACATGATGTATATTCCTAATACGTGACTTTTTCACTTGTGTTGTTGAAAAACATTTCTAGCTGTATATCGTTCTTCATTAATCCACACCGGGGTATAATAGTGTGTAAAATATATTCAAATATGACTTGAATTTTGGCTGCACATTACCCTACAGCAGAGAAACCTATATAATGATACTTATTTATATTTCTTATCGTACTTATTAATAAATTGCATTTTCCACCTCTGTGATAACCAACCATACAAATGTGTTCAATTTTCTATGCAGGTACACGCCATTCCTCTCCGTTCTAGTTGGGTAATGACTTGTTCCTATGCTCCATCAGGCAGTTTTGTTGCATGTGGTGGTAAGTAGTTGTTTCAAAGCTTGATTGAATTCCTCAATTTCGCTGAAATACATTTGTGAACCAGACTTGTTATGGAATTATCTAGATGCTTAAATTGGCAGTGCGGCATAGCAGGGTACGCTAATTTAAATGAACTCAATATCTAGCATAGACTGACCCAGATGTATGACGTAATAATTACGTTGATCAATATTAACTAATGATTCATGCACTTAATATTTGTGCCAGTTTTGCTTCAGTCGAGAAGTTTGATGATCAAAACATTTTTTCTGTGTATTTATTGACATGTAACTGAAGAAATTATATTATATGCATTGCTAATGGTTTACTATTCTTTCAACATTGCAGGTTTGGATAACATATGTTCGATCTACAGTTTGAAAACAAGAGAAGGAAACGTGCGTGTGAGTCGAGAGCTTCCCGGCCATACTGGATACCTATCCTGTTGCAGATTTCTCGAAGATAACCAGATAGTCACTAGTTCAGGAGATATGTCATGGTATGTGCCAGGTTGTTATCTCTTTGTGAGGATACCGTGCTCCCTTTACTAGCCGTAGTGACACTGTTTTGTTCATTTTGTCTTTGTTGGTACCGTATACCCACGAGCTCACCTTTGGCGGGGCACACTGTCGTGTGCACCCAAGCTCTGATTGAGTGCATTTTCTGCAATCGCGCCAGCTGTTACGCACTCGGCGTGCCTTTTGCTCAAACTGACCAAGAAATAAGCACTGGTAGTTGGGTGACTGAACTTTGTTCTCACTGTTGCAGCGCCCTATGGGATATAGAAACAGGGCAGCAGTGCACGGCATTCACAGGTCACACTGGTGATGTCATGAGTTTGTCCCTATCACCCGACATGAGAACGTTCGTCTCCGGGGCTTGCGACGCTTCCTCAAAGGTGAGTGTTGATGAAGAAAGTCAGGAGAGCTTGAGCGCTAACACACAACCGTGCCGTACCATCACCTGCCACATACATTCCTCAATGTTAGGCCACAATTATAAAAATCTTTGTTTGCCCTCACCCGACCCAGGCTGAAAAGTTTGGGTAGGTAGGTAGGTAGGCTTTTGTTTAGGGCGGGGGTCTTTTTACAAATTCAGCATGGTGTCTACATGCTCGGGTGTGCTTACAAGTGTGGAGATACCTTTTATGTTGAATGTTTGTTTTGCTTGATACGTAGAATGTATTGCCTACAGTTTTATATAATGTACAGTGATACAATTTTGTTTAAAAAAAAAGAACAATAAATTTGTTTGAGTCGGTCCCTTTTTGGCGGGTCGGTCGGGTGAGGGCAAACAAACAATATTTTTATTATGGCCTTAGCTAACTGGTCTGACCCTTCATGGCTGTATGGTAACAGTTCAGGCTATTGTGTCACGTTGGTACAACGGGTAATAAATATGCAGACCTAGACCCTTGGTATTCAAAATTGTACATCATCATGACTATAGTATTGAATTGTATTTACGTCATTCTTATTTTTACCTTTGCAGTTGTGGGACATACGTGATGGGATGTGCAAGCAGACATTTTCCGGACATGAATCTGATATCAATGCTGTTACAGTGAGTTTTGTTCTATCAGCCATGTTTTGGCAAGTCACATGCACTACTGCTAGCTAGATAACGAATATATGAAAAGAAATTTTAAGGTTGTTAGGAAAATGAGTTACTATACAAACAGATCTTGGGAGCACCAATATGAGATGGCCACACTTGGTACACACCAATAACAATGTCCAGTCTTTTGAATCAAGCTTACAATTTGAGGTGATATATTCAATGCTGCCGAAACATGGGTAGTGTGCCTCAGGGGTAATTCTTGCCTTTGCTATGAGTGATATGAGTTTGAAATTTTTCCATTTTTTCCCTTTTCAATTTTCCCATTAGCATTGTACTTGTCCTGTGTAGTTATTCTGTAGGTTTGTCAGTGTGCTTAACCATGAATATATGCCGTGTACACACTAATGGTTGATCCCATTTTTCTTTTCCAGTACTTTCCCAATGGATATGCATTTGCAACAGGGTCAGATGATGCCACGTGCAGGCTTTTCGACATCCGAGCTGACCAGGAGTTGGCTCTATATTCGCATGACAACATTATCTGCGGTATCACATCAGTAGCTTTCTCAAAGTCTGGCCGTCTTCTCTTCGCTGGTTACGATGACTTCAATTGTAACGTGTGGGATTCAATGCGAACAGAGCGCTCTGGTGAGTGTGTTAAGTGCGGCATCTCCTCATAACATGATTCTACATTTACTGTAGTCGTCTTCTATTGTTTCATCATATATTTTATACAGTACTCTGCCAGATGCCCACCTTCAGCGTAAGCTAAACCTCTTTCGATCTCTTCTCTTCTCTCATTTCATGCCAGCCATATTAGCATATCCTCAGTTTTCTGCCTCAGACCTCAAACTCCTTCTCTCCTTACTTTTCACCTTAATACACCACACAAGCCATCTGTCAAGTCAATAGTTTTGACCTAACCCTTTAAAATTACAGTCTCAAATGGCTTAATGCAAAAAGACAAAACTAAATTAACATGAATCCTGACTACATTTCACAACCTGGTGATTATTACTGCTATGCTGCCAACCTTGTGCAAACTCCCACATCACACACTCCGTGTGAACTTTTACACTGACTTTCACATTACATTTGCAACCTGTTTTGTAGCTGTTCCACACACCTACGTTACCCTGGCATCCTCCTGATACATCCAACCTCACACTGGTCTAGACACTACATACTTGGGTTCTATGTGATCTTCATATCAAATGCTTAACCTCTGTCCTACCTGCACATGATACATCCATTCTCATCCTGACTTACACATAATCAGCCTCACCAAAACGTTACATGATGCAACTTCACCTACCCTACCACATCACATGAGTGACCTCACCCTACTTCTATCTAAGTTGAACCTCAATCTCGCCCTGGTTTATATACCACACACCTAACCTCTATGCGACCATCACACCACATGCCAAATCCGAGTCCAGCGTACACGTGGTACGTCCAACCTCACTCTCACCTTTACGTCACACATTCAACATCATTATTCATGTCTGTCATCCTTTCATTTTTACATGTCATGTAATTATGCAATTTTAAACCAACACTTTTAATCAATGGTAAATCAAACCTATAATAAAACTAAAGTTGGCTGAGCGTAGTTTCTTAATTTCCTATAATATTCACGGTTGTTTTCTGTGTAACTTCAATGAAGGGTTGGGTATCACACTGCTTGTTACAGTGATTGTATGGATAAGTAAATGTGATCGTAACTGAGATAGTAAGACCCGTGATCACGACTTTGTAGGTATCGTTGATAATTTCATCTCCAAGCAGTAGACCGTACATGTAGCATAGCACGTAGCACATGCATGAGGTGTTAGCATCTGCGTTCGGCCAGCTAGCTAGCCAGACATTACGTTTTAATTTGCCACGTTCATATTGATTTTCTCCTAGTTTTACGTTTGTGGAGGATGTCTACTGTACATCCCTAGCTTCCTATACATAAAACCAACCTCAGTCGGTGGCCATAACGTATTGCTGTATTAATAGTTGACAGTTGAACGTGTCATTGGAGATCTTTGCGATTAAATAACTAAGAAAATTTGTGCGCGTGTCTAGGGCATGCAATTGTAGTAGAAATCGATGTAACGTATAGATTTTTAAAATTTGTCTATCACGTAAAATCTTTATGTTATCTCTACCTGGCTTTGGAATGCATGCTTGTATCCTTTTGTAGCCCATCGGAATGCCTTCGAAATAATGCCTGATAACAGAAATTAGAGGCAAATAATGTTATTCCCTTTCTCCCAGATGTGTATTGAACCGATGGGTGATGTTTTTAACCATTTCTCTGTTTGCTTGTTCGTACAGGCGTTCTAACTGGGCACGATAACCGAGTAAGCTGCCTCGGCGTTTCCGAAGACGGCTTTGCTCTGACAACCGGCTCCTGGGATAGCTTCCTAAGGGTTTGGAATTAGTCGAACCATTACCTTCATGTCGACGAGTCTTACAAGGTTTGTATCACTTTCCGCCTTTCTCGGTTGTCACGTAGGTTTCTCTGTAAGTCGGTCAGGCTTGCACGTGTTGGAATACGCGCTGGGAACTGAATCGCATAGTCAATCTGCTAGTGAAGAAATTATTTGGGAAAACTACGTAACGGTGGTTGCTGACTGCATGTCGCAGGTTTGCGTAAGTGCGTAACAGCATAAAGCTGAGGCAAACGTTTGCCACGCCTTTCTGCCGTTTGCGTGATTACGTGAGACCTAGACCTCCCACTAACCCCATTAAGGAGGGAAAGTGGAATGGGGGGCATTACGAAATGAGATTGGCATTAATTGAACTCGTTTTTTAACTAGCGTGATCGAAGCAACATCTGACAGTTGATGCATGGTGCGCTGTCAGGACACAGTATTAATAGATTCTCGAAATGAAAAAAATGTTTGTAATAGTCCAGTGTTTAATGGGATCCAGATTGAGACTAAACAGAAGGTGACTCTGTTTAGGAGTGTATATCACTTCTTAGATACTAAACCTTAATGCCTTTTTGTAGAAAAGTAAAGGGGAGCATAATATTAATGGAACTAATTAAGGATTTCATCCCCGATTGGCACGCAATTGTTGCATGATGTCTGAGATGTTTCTGGCTTTATTGCAGGTGTTCTTGCTGGGCATGTTAACCAAGTTAGCTGCTTGGGAGTGAGCGATGATGGAATGCCAGTACGCAGCGACTGGTGGGACAGCTGCGTCAGGGCGTGGCGCCGTCTGCGAGAGCGTCGGCCGTCGGAGACGACGTCGCGACGTCGTCATTTTCATCGTTGTGACAGTGTTTGTGTGCGTCGCCACGACAGCAGCGTGCTTGGCTGGGACTGGCTGCCGGGCGGTGGTTGCGACGCGTGCAAGGATGCTCCCCTGTTAGTGCCCAGCAACGGCACCTCAGTCCCCCAACATCTGTAGTGGTTCATCATCTGTGACTGTAAATTTTTATATATGAGCACTGTGTTGCATTTAGGGAGATAGAGTGTTGGTAGGCAGCAGCACTGCTGGGGAACGCGTGTAGAAAATTGCTCTGCCATGGGGAATCGATAGCAAGCAGCAACCAGGGAAACTGTGTTGAGGTGGAGCCTTGTCCATCACTCACCCACAGTACTAGGCCTAGGTGGCACAAGGTGCTTGGTGAAGTGCGCAGCTCCTGTTTATTCACCACTCACTTGTTGCCGTTTTTACTGCCCCAATTGCTGATTTTGGTGTTGTGCTCTGTACAGTATCCAACATGTTGTCTGTGCCAGGCACTTGTCATTATTCCACATTGAAAGCTTTGGATGTTGTCGTCGCACATCTTCGGCATCGTCGTTCTGCTTACCTTACAGAGACCGAGAGTCCGCGAGAGCGTGAGAGTGAGTGCTGTTCAGTGTATTTTGCTTGAATACAGTTTTATATAATAATTGTTAATGTGGAAATTGCTTTTCGTGAGCCGATACAAGTGCGCGCGCGCGCGCGGTGCGACCGCCGCCGGCCGCGATAGTGAGCGGCCGTCGTGTCAGCGCTTCTGTCTCTTAGCTTTCACCTACAGGTGGTGTTGCTTTATAGATGTAATCATGCGAAATCGAACTGCATGATCGCGCCACGCTGTGTCGCGGCGTGCCGGGCCTGTCCTGATGACATCGCGTGTCGTCGCATCCCTTGTTGCGAGCACTCGTAAGGCGTTACGTGACGTTTGGCTGCAATCGTCGTCGGCGCAAGCGCGGCGACGGGAGATCGGCCCCTCCGTATCCGCTGCCGATTTTAATTACTATTGTGAGTGAGAGAGAGCGTGAGCAAAAGCGTGTGCGTGCGCGCGAGAGCGCGAGAGAGAGAGAGAGCGCGTGTGTGTGTGTGATAGCCGCTTCCAGAGATGTAACCCGTTTACTGGTTTAAGTGTCGGGGGCAATGTATAAAACGAGTGAGCAGCTTGGCCGGTGCTCGAGAGCACTGTCCCCCGAACCCAGGAGTGAGGCCTGCAGCGTGGCGATTGCGCAGCGTGCGGCCCTCCCCTGCGGGCGTCGTTCGTACCGTAATAGTAGCCCTCCAATAGCTGCTATAATTTTTTGAAAATGCAAGCATGTTTGAATGGACCTTTCTTGGACTAGTTTTGAAGTCACCATTGCGTAGAGTAGCGTTATTGGTAGGTGCAGTGTAGCCCTTAACACGTACGTTTTTAAAAGACAGCCGTTTGTAGTTAACGTCAAGATTAGCTGTTGCAGCTGGTAGTGTTATATTAAATGCTTTCAATTTGCGATTTGGATACTAAATGTATTGTATGACTATTAAAAAAGGGTAACTATATCATCATTGTCATCATCATCATGTTCAATGCTGAGAACTGCAGAATGTGGCTTTTAAGAGCTATTTATGCCTTTGTCTTTATTTATTATTTTACTCTTACATAGTGCTTTGGCCACTGTGAATCATGTACTATCAGTATCACAGTGTATTTGAAGGTATCGCCCTCAATAGTGGCTATTTTTATTAGCAGCTGAGCGAATAGTGGTCCTGAGTAATTATATATTGTTTCTCGTGAAAACCCTCGCGCATCTGAATGCGGTGTGGCACGGGGCAATGTGGTGGGGTGATGGCGGCGGCGTCCGCGCACACCCGTCTCGGGCGCCGCCCCGAGCGTGTGCCGTGTATGTTGACCGTGTGTGCGTGTGCGTGCGTGCGTGTGTGTGTGTGTGTGTGTGTGTGTGTGTGTGTGTATGTGTGAGAGAGAGAGTGTGTGTGTGCTTGCGCGCATGTGTGTGTGTGCTTGCGCGCATGTGTGTGTGTGTGCGTGCGTGCGTGCGTGTACTCCACGCTGTGCATTCTGCGCACCCCTCCCCTGCGCTGCCAAGTGGACGTGCCCGCCGCGGCTTCCGCACCTAGTGCAGCTGTGGGCGCGACGATTTGCGCTGCTCGGATGGGAGCGGGGCCGGCCACGATTCGAGCGGTCCGGGGAAAAAGTGCCATGCTGTGTTCAGTTGTGTTGCGATGATTTTGCACAGTGTAACGTGATCCAGTTGTATGATGACGGGAGTAAGAACAGATGTTTCGTATTTTTCACCGTTTGTCAGGACACTAGTACAAGTAGCGCATGTGTTTGCTGTCGGGGCGTCTGACTCAGCTGAATCGTTTTCTAGCTGGTTTTGTTCTCGTGGTGTGGTGCAGTCGGTCGGTGTTCATGTATAAAATGAAGGCAGGCACCATTTAGGCTTCGTGTTTCTCCTCATATACCCGTTTCCCACCCCTCTGTTTGTTCGAGTCTCCTTGGGCCTTTCTCGTGAGTAACCCCCTTATCCCCGCCCTATTCCCGTTTTCCCTTCAATACGCGTACCCAAATAGTAGTTCATGTACCGTGAAGCCTAGCTTTTGAAAATCTGTGCGGTCATTGTTTCACACATTACAGGACGAAGATTGCAATCCTCTACGCCGTGTCATTTTGCATGGTGAATGGTATACATATTGTGACACTTCAAAACGGTCACGTTTTTTCGTGTTTACTTTATTTGCAGCCGTTTCGGTTTGTTAGAATTGCTACGTGCAGGAAGATTCTGCTGATAATCGTTGCGCTGCGTTGCCAGTACATGGAGCGTTGAGTGCTGCCACCTGGGCGCAATGCCAGCAGAGTGGCAGAAGGCTGAGTAGACGTTGGCGATGTGACAGACGTGTGGTCACTGCTGTCGCTCAACTGATAGCCCATCACAGCGATTTTCTGACCATACTGTTGCTGATCACTGCAAATTACTATAATGTTGTATACAAGTCTGGCCTGCTGTACAACATTAATGAATAGTCCCATTTGTGAAATATGTATTGTAATTTAACTTGTCCAATAAAGCTATTTGTCTTTACCAGAATGTGTTCTTTTCGTGTTCATTTTTTTCACGTGTGATAGTGACCAGAGACAAAAACACTCACTTACAAACTATAAGGGTATTGGAGTTGTAGTGGTCTTGACTGTATGTCATCTAGAAGCACGACTTTTACTTGTTAATTTGAACCATTTATTACCTTTAAATTGTTGAGTTTTATTTACACACCAGCGTTTGTCTATTTATTGTTAAAAGGGAATTCCTCAATGCATAGATAGCGTGTGAATAAGAAGTTATTATTCATTCCTGATATAATATAATATAAGAGCATAGAAATGTGGTTCATGTTTAGCTCGCCTTTACATTGTCAAGATGAGCTATTGCCATGGGCCGTTGTCCGTCGTATGTCCCGTCCGTCCGTCAACATTTTGCTACGGTCAACGATAACTTGAGAACCGTTTGACCCACATGATTCAAATTGCATACAGTTGTTACTCCTATGGGAGAGATTTGAACGTCCTATTTTGGAGCACGCCAGTCAACCTACTTTCGAGCCACACCCACTTTTTGGCAAAAATGGAAATGGCCGTAAGTCAGTTCAGGTTCAACGGATTTTGCTCATTTTTGGTATGAGAATGAATAAGTACTGGCCCCAAAACATATCACACGGGTTTTGATATTTTTGTTAAATTATGTAGATTTTTGCAATTTCAGTGTCTGCCTACGGTCAACAATAACTCGAGAACCGTTTGACCCACGTTTAAAATTGCATACAGTTGTTACTCCTATGGGAGAAATTTGAACGTCATATTTTGGAGCACGCCAGTCGACCTACTTTCGAGCCACGCCCACTTTTTGGCAAAAATGAAAATGGCCAATTAGATTCATTCGATTATGTTAAATTTTGGTATGTGAATGTGTAAGGCTAGCCCCAAAACAGTTGTTACTCCTGTGGGAGAGATGACAGCGTCCTATTTTGGAGCACGCCAGTCGACCTACTTTTGAGTCATTCTAAACTGCGTGTTTGCTGCAGTTTTTTGGGGGGAGTTTGCGATTTACGGATATATAATTATCAAGAGTATATAATGGGAGATATGCTATATAATGGGAGTTCTCCCATATATACTCTTGTTTTATATAATCAGAAGTAGATAATAGGGAATAGATAAATAGGGAATAATAGATTCCCTATTATCTACTTCTGATATAATGTAGGGGGATAGTTGCTGAATTAAAAATGACTTGTTGGCACTCTCTCATTTGTGTACTTTTTTGTGGTGAGGTATATAGTGTCATTCAGGCCCGTAGCCAGGGGGGGTTCGGGAGGATCGAACGAACCCGAGCCCCCCCAAGCCAAAAAATTTATTTTGAAAATTTGCAAGAATTTCACCTCAGGTCGCTCCATTTTAGTGTAATAATTGCAAAATCTCCATCGTGCGGGAGGGTGAACAGTGAACGCATCCCTTCCCACACCCTCCTCCCGCTCGGTCGCTTGGCTCCCTCGCCTGGTCGCTTCGCGCCCGAGCAGGGGCGTGTACAGGGGGGGGCCCAGGGAGTCCGGACCCCACCTTGCTCGCGCAGAAAACGCATCTGAAGGGGTGTAATTTTAAAAAATTTCTGGGGGAGGGCCTCCAGACCCCCCCCCCTTCGCGTGCTCGCAACTTTGGGTTACGGTTAGACTCCCCCTCGTAAAAATCCTGTACACGCCCCTGCCGAGCAAATTGCCAACATTGAAAAACGAACCCCTCCAATATAAAGCTGGCTACGGGCCTGGTGTCATTGACACTTTCATTTTCCTTTTGTAACTAACCGCCACTGCTTGCTGTCTCTCGTCGCGGTATATAGATCACCAATGCATTGTTTCCGCAGTTGATACTAGCAGTTTATCTTTTTTATTAAATTTTTCTCACTGATCTTTAAGGCTACATGGCGTGTTCCGGTCGGAAAACGAAAATGATTTTTACAGTCAATAGAGAAATTCAAGCTTGTGGATAACCAATACAAGGTTTATAATACAAAAATAACATAGACCTTAATTTATACCGATGCAATGTGTTGGATCCTTGTTATACAAACATAGTGTTGCAAGACTAACGGAGTTTTAGCATTTCCTCCAACTTTAGCATGTTTCTACTCGTAGATATTTTTATACAGTTCTCGTACATATGCGTGTAATTGGTTGTAAATTAATTCGGAAACGTCGGAGACGGAAGATCTTTCCTGCCAACAATCAAAGCTTCCTCAATCCATCGAGAGATGGCGCAGGTCGTGTCACGTATTTACGATGTAGCAATATGGTCATCTGGTTGGTGGCTTCATTGCGATTAGCTCATAAGCGCCACGCTACCGAGATTCCTCGTTGATAAACCGCAACCGAGGAGTGACGAAAAACTCAGCTTTCCTCGCGGAGGAGGTGGTGCCAGAAGGGCGGGGCATGGGTGTTTCGTTAACTTGTAGTCTTGTCAATTACTACAACAGTCCATGAGATTTAGCTGTACATTGGAGTGGTGACGCCTGGGCCCAAGGGGGGGGGGTACTCACCTTTTTTTGGGTAGGGATGCTCCACCTAAATAGGAAAATTGAGGGCAAAAAGATGGCCTGACGGTGGAAACACTGTGCAAAAAGATGGCACGACAGTGAAAACATGTGAGGCAAAAAGATGGCTCGACGGTGAAAACATGGGGCAAAAAGATGGCTCGACAGTGAAAACATGGGGCAAAAAGATGGTTTGACAGTGAAAACATGGGGCAAAAAGATGGCTCGACGCGGTAGCTCTAGATTCTAGAACTATAGCCCTCCGATCCGCCGCAGGCCTGCGGCGGAGCGGAGGGCTATAGTTCTAGAGCTAGCTCGACGGTAAAAGCATGGGGCAAAAAAATGGCTCGACGGTGAAAACATGGGGCAAAAAGATCGCAAGGGAAAAATTGGGGGGCAAAAGATGGCTAGGAAAAAATGAGGGGGGCAATAATGGCGCAATATATATATATATATATATATATATATTATATATATATATAGTAACGTCACTATGCGGAGTACCCCCCCCCCACCCCGGGGCCTGGGACGTTGGAAAGGGTTCAGCCTCGTCGAGAAAAACGTCAGAAGATGATCCATTAACAAAATTGCAGTCGCTCGTCATCTTTAGCGCTGAACCAGTTGCAGTCACTTATGAGAAAAATCAGCTAGATGGGCGGGATTATTATGTAACATAATATTAATAACACATGTATTACAATTTATCAGTATAGTTATAGATATAGCAGTTCATCCTGTCTATATCCGTAAATGGCTAAAATTGCCACTTGTAAAATCACATGCGTCTAAACAGAGGAATTGCTCCGACCTGTGATTGGAGGATAAAATAGACCCGCCCACTCCGCCGCATACGCTATGCTATGACGGGTAGGAACGCGTACTAACTATCATATGGAGCGAAACGATTTGAGTTATATTTCTATAAATTCAGCTATTATAGACACATGAGAATAATCAGAATTTTGAGTCTATTGAAGCGCGATTAGTCTAATTAATTAGCAAATATGCACGCGCGGCTATGACCGGTGAAACGAAACGTCACGAATTCTATTTTTATCCTCCAAAAATGGAAAAGTGGGCGGGTCTATTTTTATCCTCCAATCACAGGTCGGAGCAATTCCTCTGTTTAGACGCATGTTTAAAAACCCTGGACCGCCCCCTTGGTATTAAATAGCCTTTTCCCACTTGCTCGCAAATGTGAGTTTACCCCCACCCGTCGGGAATTTAGCTCCTGTGTCCGGCTACCGCTAATGGCCCACAGCACCTTCACGGAGAGGGCATACACTTGAGTCGTTTGAAGGCAGCATGCTCCAGCATCTCGCGGTCGTCCGGGTGAGCAATGTTGATGAGCTCGTAGGCACGCTGCCGCAGGTTCTTGCCAAACAGCTGTGCGATGCCATACTCGGTGACTATGTAGTGCACGTGAGCACGGGTCGTCACGACGCCGGCGCCTGCATCAGAGACGAAGTTAGCGACGACGGACGGCAGCAGCGCCATCTACCGGCATCTATATCGTAAATATAATCTGGAGACGTGAGTAGACGCGCTATGCTAGCTAGCTAAGTAGAAATATATCGGGTAGCAGGCTTGCAGTTTACGCTTAGATGTTTAATTTCGTAAATTGTAGCCCGTGGTCCTCGATGAAATCAATCCTACCGAGTTTGATCTGTGGAACAATCTTAGGACTCGCATCTTTCGTACGTGACGGCATTGCGATGATGGGCTTGCCAAGTGCATCGAGCGCCAGGGCGGCGCCACGTATGAAATCAATTTGACCACCAACTCCTGCAGAGGCAAAATAGATTAATGGTAATGCAGACGACACAGCACGCTGGTCTCCGCCCATGAAATCGATCAAAGCTTACTAATAACCATTGTGCCCCCCCTAGCCTAATATATATTTATATATAGAAAAAGAGGAGATGAGAGGGGAGAGAGAGAGGGGGAAAAGCGAGAGAGAGACAGAGAGAGAGAGAGAGAGAGCGAGAGAGAGAGAGAGAGAGAGAGAGAGAGAGAGAGAGAGAGAGAGAGAGAGAGAGAGAGAGAGAGAGAGAGAGAGAGAGAGAGAGAGAGAGAGAGAGAGAGAGAGATAATATGGCTCGCGAATATGCTCGTCTTTACATTTGCAATGCAGTAATATAAAACGAATACGAAGCAAAAAGTACAATATTTATATAACAACTGCTTTAAACAGTAGAAATTGTTAAAATGTTTAGTGTGTTATTGTAATCGCTAACCTGAGTACATCTCTGTTCCTATAGAGTCAGCCACCACCTGGCCTGTCAGATCTATTTCTATCGCAGAATTAATGGCTGTCATCTTTGTATTCTGGCATATGATTCTGATATTGTTGCACGTACGAACATCGTACATTACTGAAACAAGAAAACGTATAGCGAGCAACACCAACTGATGACATTGCCCCCACCGGGGGACGCCTGGATGTTAGGATGTTTAACACGAACTGCTAGGCGCTAGGACCCAAGGCGATAGAACTGTTAAAACAATGCATAACAAAGCGCGGCCTCGGACGCTTTATGGCAAGGAGTAATAACAACTCGAACAACGGGCGATCATCAGGTCACAAGCCGCGGAAAAGTTCCGCTGCACTCACAGACGAAGAGGTTGTTATCCAGAAAATCATAGACCCTTCTGCTGCCGACGACGAAGCTAACGACGCTCTTTCCCTGCGCGAACGACTTGCGCGCATTCGTGATGCAGCCAAGCTCCATCAGATCGACGACCTTATCGCCGAACATCTCCGTGTGGATGCCGAGGTCGCGGTGATGCCGCAGCTGCTCGCAGACGGCCTGTGGGATTGTGCCGATGCCTGCGGGCAGAGGACATGTTCTGCTAGCATCTATGACAAATACGACATACGCATATACGCTCTCCTATGACACTATGTGTCATAGGAAGATTCTTCCTGTGACAAATATTGGCGAGTCAACTTCGTTCCGCTTTACAGCTGAAATTCACTGCTTGCGTTCATAATAGTGCTCCTAAACTCCTATGATACGCACAACACATACAACAATATTTGTCATAGGAAGAATCTTCCTATGACAAATAGTGTCATAGGAGAGCGTATATGCGTATGTCGTATTTGTCATAGATGCAAGCAGAACATGTTGCATCATCGCATATCACCCGCCATCTTGGCCGGTCTCGCACAAGGTCAACTATAAGTGGGAATGGAGTCAGTGCCGGTAGAAGATGTTGCGCGTTGCGGCTGCGTTGATCTGTCGTAGCCGGCCTGGCCACCACGTGATATAAGTTACGACACGTAATTCCGTAACGCAAGATGCGACCGATCGCGCCCGCCCAGCGTGCCGCCAGCTATCGTCATCGACGCCACCGCCATGGACGAACTCGACTACTATGCTAATGCTTGCGCGTAAATGTTGATTACATGCAATAGAGCGTATATGCGTATGTCGTATTTGTTATAGATACTAGCAGAACTGGCTGTATATTCAGGCACGTCTTCGATATGACAAAGCGAGTGATATGACGTTGATACGGTGACGTAATAGAACTATTACGTTTTCGTCGGCCCTACATCTCTAATGTACGGTTCGACACATTTTTAGACTCTAGAATATAACATTTATGATTATTTATAAGAAGTCAAATTATTCTTGTGTCAGCTACGTTGACTCAACGGCAATCCGAAGGATAGAAACCGCTAATTATTATGTACATGTTTATATATAATTATATATATACACATATTATATATATATATAAGCTTATATATATACAGCTTTCTGTACTAGTTTAATTAGTACATAATAACTTTGCGATCTAGTGCCAGGTATTTTATATTTAGGATGTCTTCGTTAACACTAAAGTTCTGGTCTTCTGTGCCAGCTATTGGTTCATAGTCGAGTTCATTCCAGGCTTTACGCAAGAAAACGTCGAAGAGCAAATTTAACAGCACTGACTGCTGCAGCAGGACACGCTCGGATCGATGGAAATTTTATCAAAAGAACAATGAATAAATATGAAAACGAAATTAGGACAAATATTCAGGGCACGTCATCTCTAAAAGTGTTCATACTAAAAAACGCACGAAATACCCATTTGCAAAGTCGCGCCATCTGCTACGAGGTTGCCAGCAATGTGCATGGCAATCATCTTTTCAATGTCCGAGAATTCTTTCAACTTATTGGAAGGAAGGTCCATTTCTTCGGCCACCATAACGTCAATGTGCGACATATGTATGCCGCTATGGCCAAAGGTTCTTGGCACCTTTGAGTTGACCAAGCCTAGAAGATATGACGTAAGTGAGTTGGTGAGTGAGTGAGTGAGTGAGTGAGTGAGTGAGTGAGTGAGCGCGTGCTTGCGTGCGTGTGTGCGAGCGAGCGAGCGAGAGTGAGTGAGTGAGTGAGTGAGTGAGTGAGTGAGTGAGTGAGTGAGTGAGTGAGTGAGTGAGTGAGTGAGTGAGTGAGTGAGTGAGTGAGTGAGTGAGTGAGTGAGTGAGTGACGTGAGTGAGTGAGTGAGTGAGTGAGTGGATGGGATGAGTGAGTGAGTGAGTGAGTGAGTGAGTGATGAGTGAGTGAATGAGTGGAGTTGAGTGAGTGAGTGACGAGTGAGCACTGAGTGGAGTGAGGAGTGAGTGAGTATGAGTGAGGGAGTGAGGGAGCGAGGGAGTGAGTGAGTGAGTGAGTGAGTGAGTGAGTGATTGATTGATTGATTGATTGATTGATTGATTGATTGATTGATTGATTGAGTGAGTGAGTGAGTGAGTGAGTGAGTGAGTGAGGGAGTAAGTAAGTCAGTGTAGTAAGTAAAAAACCAACAATGCTTCAACAATGGAGAGACAAGTGACGCAAGAACTGCGTGTCACTGAAAAGAGTCCTTCAATATCTAATGGTTAGAAGAGAGTTCAACACTTTAATTCGGATTCTCAACAAACGCAAGAATTGCACGTTACTAGAAAGTGGTATTTTTGAAGCACTGTGAAACGAGCCAAAACACCCTATTTGTATATCTTTTAGCCTCGTGTGTTGGCTAATGTGTGGTTACAATCTCACGTACCGATGATGTATTTAGCGTTGATGATGGCTGCCCTAGTGCACTCCACAGCCGAGCCGAGCGTGCAGAAGCCATGCTCGTCAGGTGGCGATACCTGTATCAGTGCGACATCGATATTCACGATGCCTCGTTCGAAGAGCAGTGGAATTTCAGACAGGAATATCGGAACGTAGTCGGCCCGTCCTTCGTTCACGACGCCCCGTGTATTCTTGTCGAGGAATAACGCGTTCACGCGGAAAATGCCTAGGCGCGTAGTAACACAACGATTAGCGTATGACCGTAATTGTACGCCTGAGGGTGGTACCATCTCGAGGAGTGAAAATGATTAAAACTTGGCACAGAGTTATTATATGATGTCGCGTCTAGAAATGAGTTGAAACAACAGTACGTCGTCGAAAGGGACAGACAGCGAAGGAAGCCAAATTTTTACGAATGGGCCATTTACCTTCGAATTCGGGCTTGGTGATCTCCATCGGTCCCTCCGTGAGAATGTGCATGACCTCAACTTTCTTAAGCCCGGAATTTCTACCATGTTCCGCCATAGCATTTATAAGTGGGGTTGGTGTCATCGACGAGCCGTGTACCCATACCCTGTCATCTGCAATGCGGCTAGTGTTCATTAATCAGCAGTTTCATAGATTCATATAGATAAATAACTTATTTGATTTTGGTCACGCGGTATGCGTGTGTAGTAGGGCTCCGCCCGTGAGTGCGTCCGTGCTCGCGTTCGTATTGGTGACACGTGTGTGTGAATGTGGATGCGAGTGATCGATGGTCCGTGCTAGAATCCTCGGGTGAGTGCCTATGCGCGTACGTAACTGCTAAATTTAATTACAAATAAGGCATTTTCGGCGTTCTGAGCTCATCAGGATTTCACATGTCATAATTATTGGTAATAGAAATAATAAACTCAAGAAAATCAGGCATTGGCTATTACCCAATCCTGTGGTCGGCAACCCCATCCAACTCTACCGAGTACATTACCGAGTACCGAGTACCGAGTACTACACCGAGTATAGCAGATGGGGTTGTTGTCGTATCAGGTACTACAGATATGTACCCGAGGTAGTTTTAGGTTGTTTAGTATTATGTTTATATTTTTATATAATTAGGAGGTAGTTTTAGGTTGTTTAGTATTATGTTTATATTTTTATATGAGGTATGTTTAGGGTTAGGGTTAGGGTTAAAGTTAGGGTTAGGGTTAGTGTTAGGGTTAGGGTACACTTCTGTAGTACAAGTCTGGTACACTTTGTGTATACATATATGTACCTCGGGTACATATCTGTAGTACCTGATACGACAACGACCCCTTGAGCCCGAGTATATAGGATTGCCGCAATGAGTAAGCCGTTAGATTTAGAATTGTTTTCAATTTATTTGTTTCCTTAATAATAAGTCCACCCTCTCGTGTTGCTTTACCCCAACATTATATTGCCCTGAGCGGCCGCCTAGTATGCATATTTGGTGAACAGGGCCTGGGAGTAAAGCTTTGCTGTATGAAGTTTGTTAGCGAAGTCAAGACGATATAGTTGCTGAAACTCTTTGCGACACCTAGAGCAAAAAACACGAAGAAAAATTCTAGCCAAGTAGGTCCCTACTGCGGAATTCATAAAAAAGTGTTACAGGTTAAGATCGTGACCTTGTCAGTTCCATTTGGCGCATTGGGTTGCGAGTTTTCGACGGCCATGTCTTCCATGTATTTAGACACGGAGACTTCGTTTGTGATTGACAGCCGTAGAATTGGAACGCGGTTAGTTTAACACGACTTGGTATGCGCACGCTTTTACTGTACTGTGTAGTAAACATGTAGCAAGAACATACCGGACTTCCTCGTATCTACAGTACACTTCACTTCACAGTAATTATTAGGTACCATCCGAAACGAATTTCACCATTACAGTTTAGTAGTGACGCTCGGGGAAATATTTTCATAAATCACTTCCAATTACAGCGAATATGGCAACCTGCTGGATAAATGCGGGCCGCGGTGGAAATCGCACGTGGAAAACAGCGAACAGTAGCCCGACGCGCTTTAATAAACACAAGAAAATAAACAGGCGCGAAACATCTGCGTTTACAGCGAAGCCCGGCGACTGGCGTGAACGCAGGTACTTTTATGGGCAAATTTATGCGCTCGCGCCGGATTGTGTTCCCTCCGCAGGGTCACCTTCCTTGCCGCGGCAGGTTTTTGCCTTCGTAATATCTCTCTCTCTCTCTCTCTCTCTCTCTCGCTCTCTCTCTTCTCTCTCCCCCTCACACACACATACGCGCGCGCACACATACGCACACACGTACACACCTACCATTTAGATACTTCCGGTAAATATGGATAGGGCTCGATGATCAAGAAACTGGAATATATCCGGCTACTCTATTCGGCGTTTATAGAAGTCACTACACTATTAAATTGTATCCAGCTCAATCCGCATAGCTATCTCAAGCCGTCATTAGTACAATATGAAACTCGGCCGTTAATATTAATTTACGCGCATTCATGTCGCGATTTAAGAGGCCAGGGAATGTTAAATAACTATCTTGTATCACTTGAAAAAACAGCTTAGCTTTCGGTCCAACTATAAACGAACGAAACTCAATAGAATCAACGTAATTATGCATGTCTTTATGCGCGTCAAGGACTTAACACTGATTAACGTTATAACGCGATTACTGTGAATAGTCCTTGAATCATAATAGGTAATGTTTTATTCTAATACTAACACTTAATTGAGAAATTGAAAACTATACTTAATAGTAGAAAATACTGGCGTGAGCTATCTAACACGAGATATGAGATTATTTGGTAGAGACTACCAGAATCTGCTTTCCCGCTAGCAAGATATGTCTATGTTAACATGAACACATTCAGCACGGTCATCTATACGCCTATATGTTTAAAAATGTAAAAATGATATAAGAACTGGCAAACAGAAATGGAACAACAGCATATATTTTAATACTAATATATAGTATTAAGTTCTTATATATTATATATTTCTCTATATATTATCTTCTTCACTTAAAGCAAAAAATTCCTGTGTCATGAAATAACCATTCCGGTCGTTTTCCGTTTGATCTGGAAAAATGCAGTTTTGTGAAATGATACGGAAGCGTTTTGCTCTTAATTTCATTCGCTAGCAGCTCTATACATATTCAATATACTTATTACGTTGCTAGAATCTTCATGGTAACTTTTATGCGGATTCAGATGCCCTGCCACCGCTAAAGGCAGTAGGATGTGCAGCACGCCTACAATGACTCACATGATTTTATGACAGCAGTGGCCTCTTCAGCTGTTCTCCACGTAGGAACTTTGTTTGGGAGAGGATGAAATGGCTCTGACGAATACGTGTAAAAATCGTTGAGCTGTTTCTCATTTGATTTCGAGAACTTTTTTAATAGATTAAGACGCGACACGTTAAAAAGCCGTGCGGCCATTTTGATGCAGTTTCCTTAAGGCCAGTACAAAATTATCTCATCCGTTTCGAAACACATCCTAGTTAGAATCCGCCGCAGGCTATAAACCCGGTGGGGATGAAAATAGCCCAGTGTGTATGCTACTTTCAGTCGGAATTATAGTACAGCCCAATGCGAATTAGGCTATCATCATTGAACGCTAGGGACCGCCAGTGTATATAGAACCCAACTTTCTCTCGCATGCCATGATTCTTTTATCCCCATGAATGGTAATTTGTAGGGGTTCTAACATACTTTCTCTGCATTCATACCTTCATTGAATTTATTACCTTCATACACACGAGCACACACACATACACACACACACACACACACACACAACCACAACACACACACAGCACCACATACACTACACACACACACCACACACACAACCACACACACACACACAACACATGCACACACACACACACACACACACACACACACACCACACACACACACACACACACCACACCACACACACATTCATATACACACACAGCACACACACACACACTACTACACACACACACACACACACACACACACGCACACGCACACGCACAACGCACACGCACACGCACACGCACGCACACGCACACGCACACGCACACGCACACGCACACGCACCACGCACACGCAACACGCACACGCCAACACGCACACGAACACGCACACGCACAAGCACACACCCCCCCACACACACACCACACACACACACACAACACACACACACACACACACACGATCCACACACACCACACACACACAACACACACACACACACACACAACAACCATAACACGCACCCCCTACGCGCATGCCACGCACGGCAGTGCACACACGCACGCAAACGCGCGCGCACACACACAACGCGTTGCGCCGCGCACACACGCCACACCACACACATACATCGAACACAACACATACAACTACGAACACACACACACCATACACGCACCCACCTTACGCGCGCGCACGCACACGCACACACATCAAAAAAAAACAAACCACACAAACAACACACACACACACACACACACACACACACACACACACACACACGAACACACACACACACACCATAACACGCACCCACCAACGCGCGTCGCGCACGCATGCACACACGCACCACGCACACACACACACACACACACACACACACACACACACACACACACACACACACACACACATATATATATATATATATATGTCATACATATAGATATATATATATAGTCTGGATGCTTGAGTCTATACTGTCGGTAGAGTGCTCGATGCATTGTTAGAGAGTAAGTTGCAGAGCGTAATAAATTGTAGTCTGTAGATAAATTAAAGACAAGACATAACTTTTAGCTGTTACTCCGAGTTTCACGCTTACGCGATCATCAGACAAACTTTAATGAAGAATAAACCTTGTATACATTCCATAACCTATATAAACATGAATGGCACTATTGTGTTAGTTATTGCGCAGTAAGTGACGACCACCGCCGCACGTACAGCCACGACAGGGAAAGAGCTGACAGGGAGAGTCACCCACATGGAAAGAGGTCACGGTACGGCAGCATCCTATCCGCGGCAGCGTCGTCGGCGGAGTACTGCAGCGTGTGACGTAAAATAACCCGTTTTCTCGCGCGATACTTTTACGCGCGTTCGCGCGCGCATTGCATAGTTGTTGTTAATTTGCGGACGGGACAGGGGGCTTAATGTGACGATATTTACGGAGAGTAGGAGTGAATTTTCGTATAAATGGCGGCAATAAGATTAGAAAGAAACAAAAAAGTTAAAAGCCGAACAACAATATACCAGCAGAATAATAGATCGATTTAACTATAGGACTATAGATCTACTGCATAGCTTTGGTAACTATGGCCCGCGTACGGTTGCCTGCGGAAACCGTACGCGGGCTATAGTTACTAGAGCTATAGAACTACATAACAATAGTCGCTGTCCGGTGATGATCTGGCCGTCGTCCATCGTCAGACGCGAGAGCAAGCCGTTGTCGACGCCGTTGTCCATGGCAGCGGTGACTACCGCAGCGGCGGCGGCAGTTGTGACGTTTCTCGCTGGGATCGAGACTGAAGATCTTGCCACAGTGTCCGTGCACGCAGGTCGAGGCGACGGGCTCACCTGTGGTAGCGTGGGTCGGATGTTAAATTGCTGAGGATTCTCCAGCTTCTCCTGTGCTTTTTGTGTTCTCGTGTCGGCACTTCGAAATTAGTTCAGATCTTTTGTTGAGGAGCCTGGATTTGTCGGCTTTAGTAATGTAAAGTTTTTCTGCTAAACAGAGATTGCATATTTTGGAGATGTTGTTGTATGGGCTTGCTGAAGTGATGATTGACCAATTGATTGTATAATTGTTCTTGTCGTCTTTGAGTTTCCAGATGTACTTTGAGAGTTTAGTGCTGTTAGCGTATTTTCTGTTTCGAAATGATAGCTTGTGTTTAGTGTGTCGTTGTTTAAATGTTCCCTCTGTAAGTCCGATGTAGTTCTTTTCTATGGTGTCTTCATCTGTAGTTACGCGTGCGTTGTAGACTAGGCTGGTTGAGAGGCAGTTACTGTCGAGTTGACATTGGTCTTCTTTTCGGCTGTTGCATTCGTTCTGGGTGGGGTTGTCGCTGGTTATTTTCTTGTTGTGCTTGTTAATTATGGTTGCTATATTTTCCGTGCAGCTGTAACTGACTTTTACGTTGTTCTTGTTGAAGATAGAGTGGAATTTGTGTTATTTGTGGAAATGCGTCTGGATGAGGTTGAGAAAGGTTTTGCCGATATTAGTTTGGACGTTTTGGCCATATGGAGGGTTAAACCAGATTATGTTCCCTTTCCTGTTCTTTCTTGCGGGTGCAGATGTGTTGCGGCTGGCGTATGTAAGGTTTTCGATAAATTCGCTTGTTTTTAGAGCTTTTTCGTAGGGAGGCTTAGCTTTGTCAAATACTTCCTTGCTGCACGAGATGTCTGATATCCTACGGTTGATGTATGCGGGTAGCTGTTTAATTATGGTAGGTGGGTGGTTGGATTTCGTGTTGATGTAGAGTGGCTCGTCGTTTTCTGTATGGGCGGTATGATCCGTTTGTTAGATTAAGTGTGATGGCAAGGTAGTCTGCTACTTTCAGGTTGGCTTGTATGGTAATGTTTAAACCGTGTTTCTTGAAGTGTTTCGTTATGTCCTTCTTTATTCTTTCTGCCTGTGAAGCTGTGGTGTTCTTGAAAATTGCGAGTCCGTCATCTCTGTATAGTCCTACGTTGTCCTTTCCGTACTTGTCGCATAGATTGTTCAGCATAAATAGTCCAACTAGCTCGCATACTTCTGCTCCGTCATAACTTCCCATTGTAACGTCAAACATACTATCGTTGTCTTTTTTTACCCAGGCGGCGCCGTTGTCAAACAGAAGGGATTTTTTGGAGTGCATAATGATGTACGAATGTTAGTAATGTTACGAAATGAATAGTAATGTTAGAAATTACGAGCCACTCTACATCAACACGAAATCCAACCACCCACCTACCATAATTAAACAACTACCCGCATCCATCAACCGTAGGATATCAGACATCTCGTGCAGCAAGGAAGTATTTGACAAAGCTAAGCCTCCCTACGAAAAAGCTCTAAAAACAAGCGAATTTATCGAAAACCTTACATACGCCAGCCGCAACACATCTGCACCCGCAAGAAAGAACAAGAAAGGGAACATAATCTGGTTTAACCCTCCACCTGGCTAAAACGTCCAAACTAATATCGGCAAAACCTTCCTCCACCTCATCCAGAAGCATTTCCACAAATAACACAAATTCCACTCTATCTTCAACAAGAACAACGTAAAGGTCAGTTACAGCTGCACGGAAAATATGGCAACCATAATTAACAAGCACAACAAGAAAATAACCAGCGACAACCCCACTCCCTCCCAGAACGAATGCAACTGCCGAAAAAAAGACCAATGTCCACTCGACAGTAACTGCCTCTCAACCAGCCTAGTCTACAACGCACGCGTAACTACAGATGAAGACACCATAGGAAAGAACTACATCGGACTTACAGAGGAAACATTTAAACAACGACACACTAAACACAAGCTATCATTTCGAAACAGAAAATACGCTAACAGCACTAAACTCTCAAAGCACATCTGGAAACTCAAAGACGACAAGAACAATTATAAAATCAATTGGTCAATCATCACTTCAGCAAGCCCATACAACAACATCTCCAAAATATGCAATCTCTGTTTAGCAGAAAAACTTTACATTACTAAAGACGACAAATCCAGGCTCCTCAACAAAAGATCTGAACTAATTTCGAAGTGCCGACACGATAACAAATATTACGTAATGAACACAAAAAGCACAGAAGAAGCTGGAGAATCCTCAGCAATTTAACATCCGACCCACGCTACCACAGGTGAGCCCGTCGCCTCGACCTGCGTGCACGGACACTTTGGCAAAATCTTCAGTCTCGATCCCAGCGAGAAACGTCACAACTGCCGCCGCCGCTGCGGTGGTCACCGCTGTCAGGGACAACGGCGTCAACAACGGCTTGCTTTCGCGTCTGACGATGGTCGACGGCCATGCAGATCATCACCGGACAGCGACGCGCAGTAAGTGACGACCACCGCCGCACGTACAGCCACGACAGGGAATGAGCTGACAGGGAGAGTCACCCACATGGAAAGAGGTCACGGTACGGCAGCATCCTATCCGCGGCAGCGTCGTCGGCGGAGTACTGCAGCGTGTGACGTAAACTAACGCGTTTTCTCGCGCGATACTTTTACGCGCGTTCGCGCGCGCATTACATAGTTGTTGTTAATTTGCGGACGGGACAGGGGGCTTAATGTGACGAAATTTAGGGAGAGTAGGAGTGAATTTTCGTATAAATGGCGGCAATAAGATTAGAAACAAACAAAAAAGTTAAAAGCCGAATAACAATATACCACCAGAACAATAGATCGATTTAACTATAGAACTATAGATCTACTCGCTTTGGTAACTGTGGCCCGCGTACGGTTTCCGCAGGCAACCGTTCGCGGGCTGCGAGTTTTTAAACCGTAGGATGGCGACGCCAGATTGATGAATCACGCGTCTCTGATTGGTACGTGCGAAGTAATAATGCCTGTCACGTCAGCGTTAGAAACGCGCTTCAGTGGGTTAAGGTAATATCACACATCAAAAAACTTATCAACTCCAACCCTAAACCTAACACTAAATATTTATATATCGGATATCTATATATAGGGGTGTCATCCATAAAAATTAATCTATGGTGTGGGGACAGATATCATGATGCAAAAACCCTAACCCTAACCCCAACCCTAACCCTAACCCTAACCCAACGCACCAATCAGAGACGTGTGATTCATCAATCTGGCGTCGCCATCCTACGATTTAAAAACTCGCACGCGGGCTATAGTTACTAGAGCTACAGAACTACATAACAATAGATAACTAAAACAATAGCACCATTCATGTTTATATAGGTTATGGAATGTATACAAGGTTTATTCTTCATTAAAGTTTGTCTGATGATCGCGTAAGCGTGAAACTCGGAGTAACAGCTAAAAGTGATGTCTTGTCTTTAATTTATCTACAGACTACAATTTATATATATATATATATATATATATAATATATATATACGTACTCCTATGTAGCGATTAACGAAAGTATTATGTTCTGTGGCAAACCTCGCAACAGAACTAAACCTGTAGCAAATTATTTAGTGGCGTGTAAAATGGGTTCATTGCATATAATATGCGGAGATAGTTGTTCAATCAGGTTTAACGCTGGGTTTACACTGCCAACTTTGTGTTGGCGAATTGCCAAATTGTACTAACTTCGCAACTTTGCAACTGCCAATCGGCAGTGTAAACGCAAAAGTTGCGCGTCCAACCGATCGATAGCAACTAGTTGGAAGATTAGAACATGTTCTAATTTCGCCAACTCGGAGTTGGCGTGTTGGACATTTTTTGCCAAGTGGCCAATCAGAGAACAGCAATCAGGGGTGTGTCCCTCCACCCAGAGGGAGACCATTTGCGCGTGCGTTTCTGCGGCACGTGTCTGAGTGTCGGAAATGGTATTTGAGGTACTTTTGAGTACACGTACAGTCTTCATTCGCACTATCACATTACTATGTACAGGAGGGCATTGTTTAGGTCGGGTTCATTATTGAATATGTAGGGGTGACCACCGCTGAGATGAGGGCGACATCAAAACTCTTTCTTGGAATTGTGACAAAAAACTGCAAAAATGTTGTAACATCTGCTTTGCCACTCAATTACTGTGGCCGAGCAGGCGCGCCACGTAGCGGCACAATGCTGCAGGTATTAAGCGCGTACGTCATTACACATTTATATTAATTTGTTGAAATTGCTCATTTCACTAGAGCGAGAGAGAACGAGAGAGAAAGAGAAAGAGAGAGCGCGCGAGAAAACGAGAGAGGAGGAGTAAGAGAAAGAGGGGTAAAGAGAAAGAGGAAGAGAGTGCAACTCGGTGATTTAATAACGGTGTTCGCGCATGCGCAATATCTCACCAGAGGAGTTATATTTTGTGATGACTATTTATTTATGGTCAGGGGGTCTCTCAGCATAGATTTATGTAATAAATCATTATCAGTAGACCTGTATTTATAATTAGGAGCGCGCCCTATAGCCTGTAGCCTGCAAAACACCATACTTCACCCTCCCACCGTCCTTCCCCTTGCCCCCCTTGTCCCTCGCTCAACTTCCTGCTTCTTTTACGACCGCTCAGCTATCCTTTTCTCAGTCTCCCACCCTTCTCTCTCTCTCTCTCAGCAAGCTATATTATGCAGTTTTCTTCAGTCATCTCAATATATCAGCATAGATTTATTTAATAAATAATATATTAGATATTATTATGATAGGGTCTGGTTTCCGGGCCGTTGAACGTGTGAGAACGGCCGAAGAAAATTATCTTGGCAGTGAACGGTGGGTGACCAACGCGCAAGCGCCATCTTCATGTACAATTAGCATACGCGGAATCCGGAGCGCGATGCTGCGAGCAAAGGGAATCTTGTAGATAGGATTTTACAATGCACACGTGACGTCGATTGAATGCCCAAGATCGGCCGAAGGTATTTATCTTGGCTTGCAACGGCGACGAGCGACGCGAGCGTCAGTTCATGTATATTAACTTAGTGAAAATTGCTGCGGTATGCTGCGAACAAAGTGAAAGTTTTGAATCACAATTCACAATCAAAGAGAAAGAATTTGCAATGCGCACAAACTGTGCGGCATCCACGCTTTGTTTTAAATGCGTAACATCGGCCTTAGGCCATTTACTTTAGGCGTTTTGTCGCCGAGGTGGCGATGTCCCAATCGCCATACCTTATAGGGTAGGAATGGAAATGAGGCGGGCAGTGCCGCCCCAACGAAGTAGTAACGTCCGAATTTGCGATGTGCACCACGCCACCACGCTCTCTTTTGCGTGCTCAACATCGTCCCTACGTCATTTACTTTGGGCGCTACGTCGTCGAGGTGCCGACGTCATGGGAACTCGCGAGGACACGGCGGAGCCGGAAGTTACAGAGAACAAGGTGTCGCTCATCAACCAGTGCGTGCACGTACATGGCATCTTCGCATACGATCCCGACGACAGGCACATCCCGCCCCACCGTGGAGACAGAACTAACGGATTATTGTAATAACAACACTGCGAGAGAGGCACAGGCGCAGGCGCAAAGACTCGTGCACAGTCACAGAGTCAGGATGCCGGTGTTGCCACGAGGGCATTGGGTTTGTCCAAGCACGTGCAGCCGAGCTCCTAATGTGCACGCACGCACGCGTGTGCGTGAACGTGCGTGTGTAAGTGCGCACACTCGTTTATGTGCACGCGCGCGTGTATGTGCACGCGCGCGTGTATGTGCACGCACGCGTGTACGTGCGCGAATGCGTGTACGTGCGCGCATGCGTGTATACGCACGCGTGTATGTGCGCGCATACATGTATATGCGCGCACGCGTGTACGTACACGCACGCGTGTATGTGCGAACATGCGTGTACGTGCGTGTATGTGCGCTCACGCGTGTATAAGTGTGTAAGTGCACGCACGCGTGTGCGTGCGCGCGTGTACGTGCGGGCATGCGAGTATGTGCGCGCACGCGTGAAAGTGCGCGCATACGTGCACGCACGCGTGTATGTGTGAGCACGCGTGCGGCGCCGGTCATGTGCATCTGTGTACGGCAGATACGTACACTCACGTACACCTGTCGTACACGGGGAAGGTACACGCGTGCGCGCACGAGCATGGACAATTCCAATGGGAAACCCCTCCAGTAATCCACTGCCCGCATGGCATCTCAACTATGTGACTGTGCACTAGTGTGTGCACCTGTCCGTGCGATACCTCAAGATTTTATACATGGAATAATGCCTATAATATCCATCGCCCCACGCGTACGCTCGCGGTCGACGCTGACCGCTCGATCGAGTTGGCCAACTCGCAGTCGTCAGTGTAAACGCGCTGCACAGTTCATAGAACGGTTGATAGAGCGTTGGAAAGTTTATCCAATTCGCCAATTCGCCCAGCTTAACATGTTTATACTAAATATCACTATAAATGAATGCAATATATCTAATTTAGGGACAGACAATAATGTTTATTTGCATTCTGTAGTGCGCATACTCACAAGTACAATTCCCGTGACGCCACCTATTGTTTAGTGTAAAACTTGTAGCGGCAAGGCGCATTGATATAAGCAGCGGGCGTCAGATCGAAGCGCCATCGAAGTCCGGCGCACAGAATTAGATCGACGTTACAGTGGTAGCGGTAGTGGTAGTGGCAGTGATAGTGGTAGGTGGCAGTGGTAGTAAGTGGTAATGGTAATGGTAGTGGTAGTGATAATGGTAGTGGTAGTGGTAATGGTAGTGGTAGCGGCAGTTCATGGTAGTGGTAGTGGAAATGATAGTCGAAGAGGTAGCTGTAATTACCCAATTATGTTATGCAGTTATACATTGATAAGATTCCTGACCCTTGAGAGCGTTGATTAATTATTTCTTACAACGATGTCTAATATGTGTTGATCCTATTATATCGTTAAATACTTATATGACAAATTCAGTTTAATGAATCATGAAGAATAAATTGCTTATTGCCCCACAATTAGCGCATTGTGTAAGAAACATTTGCTTTTTGCTTAAATGCTAACTTTTGAATTGTTGCCATGAATAATACATGCTTTTAATCATTGCACGCTGACTAGTGAGCTACCTAAAGAATTACCAGATCGCACTGTGCACTGTTTTAGTTTTTCACCGTAACATTGAATAATTAGCGTATGGTAATAATACGAATAAAACGATAGTCTGCACGGCTCACGTAAATGATATTCTAAATTTCGAATGAACATTCATTATCATCATATCGGTTCGAGCGAGGAACGAACATTAGTCATATTCAGTTGCATACAGTATGATCATTGAAGTGCCTAACGCTATTCTTAACCTAGCCACGTCTCTAGAGAAACTCTAGAGAAACTCTTAGATGTGCGTTAAGAAAAACGTTAACGAGTATCTGATGTAAAATGTGAAACAAACGTAATGAGCCTAACCGCGTCAGCTCGTGGGCGAATTCATTATGATTTAGGCACGTTCATGGATAACAGATGGCGCTTCGAGTTCAATGCTTTTTGCCAAACTCCACGACAGATGGCGCTCTCGCTCTGGCTCAATTCTACTGAGTGTGGGAAGGGGCACTGCATGCAGTTTGGCTTTTTGCATGCAAGATTCAAGCGTGCAGGAATTTTGTCTCGGCCATGCCCCGTATCAAATTATGTTTTTTGTTAAAATTCACTAGGTAGACACAGTTTACGTTATATATACATATGAAGTGATGCAACTCTTTACGACAACTGATATACATCGTACCAGGGTACCAATTACCAGGGTACGATTGTACAGAAATAGAAGTCACCAGCCAACTCGACGAGCTAACTATATTGGAATTTCTTAGATCTATGGCCAAATATATTAATCAATCGTCTAATAATATTACGAACGCACGTTTGTTTTTAGTTAGCAGGATCACGTCAACATAAAAGGAATGGTATGCACGTATTTCAGGGGCGGATTCAGACCGTATTTGCCATATTGGGAAATACGGTATAGATTTCAAAGTGCCTTTCGAAATTTTGCGCTCACTGTGGGGTGGTGTGCCCTTTTTGGGGGATGTGCCCTTTAAATCTGGAAAAATACTGTCTAGCCTCAGCCCTGGAACCAGCCCTGTATTTATATTAAATGTAATGCTAACTATATCACAAATGTTAAAATCTAGCTGTGTAGGTAGGTGTTCACGTGCGTTCGTATGTACGTGTGTATGAGGATTTGTGACTGTGTGGGACGTACATAAGCAAGTTCGCGCGCGTGTTTTGTGCAGGTATGTGCGTGTGTGTGCGTGTGGTGCGTGTGGGATACGTGTCTGCAGTGTTATGCACGCAAACACCCACAGACCTAGCTGTCACTGGCAGACGCACCACACGAAGCAGTACTTACCGAAAACGTATTTGGGGCTAATCCGCTATTTTAATATAAAATTATTACTACTCAGCATTTCGTACGTTCTAACACATATAGATATATACAATCTATTTTTAATTCTGCGAAGTTATTCACGACCTCTCCGCCGCCACAAGAGGGATGTTTCCGCAGCCAACACCCCCTTGATACAAAATGGTATTGCTCGCTTTTATGTCTAGCGGTTGTACTCCCCGTCCGGTGACTATGTAACGTCATAAATTGTCTGCAAAAACTCTCCATGAAAGTTACTGGAAGATTGCAAAAATCATCGCTTGCAAAACATATATGCATAGTAACGCCATATGCCCGTTATTTAGTTTAGCGGTAGAATATTTGTTTTTGTTGCAAAAAGTTGGCCCGAGCCGTTTGGGGGGTATAAATTAACCGCGTCACAGCCCAATTGCTGACTGATCGGCATCGAGTGGAATCAGTAAGGCCGAGTCCGCGAGTCGTCAGTGTTCCACTCAGACCGGCTCGATCAGTTTGGTTCGCTACACCGTCGCAGCGCTGGGGCTTTACCGGCGTACATTCAACCCTATGAAGTGTAGCACTGTGTAGGAACTATACACAACTCTGTGAAGGCTGATCATTTTCTGTCGAAGAAGTTGCAGAAAGTGAGCGATGGTTGAAGGACTGCGGCGGGCACGTAGCCCGTCAAGTCGGGTAACACTAGGTATCGCCGTGTTACTTCTCGTGTGCTGTCTACCTACTACCCAAGCCCAAGAACAAGACTCATCTTCCAGATACTTGTTCCCAAAGGACAGTGGCGATGTAAGTAGATGATGCTCTGTTTCGTTTACCTACAATAATTTCCGTATCGGAAATCTTCTTAATATAGGGAGAGTGCTGTCAAAAGATCGAGGTGCGATGAACGGCGCGGATTTCTCTAACTTCGTATTCCATGCCGTTACTTGCTACGTTATACATGTATGCTATATGTAATACCGTTAAAATGCTTCTCTGCAGTGCAATCTCACCGCACTGTGCACAAACTACATGGTAGTTAGAAATAGAATGATCTTTCTGTGAGTTAGTGTAGGGCAGCGGCGTGCGTGCGGCGTCTTGTGTAATATTACAGAGGAGCATGTGATTCACATGCTCCTCTGTAATATTAACATAAACACATTGTGAACGGCATTTATGTTAAGTCTATGTTATGCGATAGCGAGTTTACCAACTTTGGTAGTAAATACAATGTTGTGCATAAATAATTACAATCGTTTCATTATTGAAACGGCTCAAATACCTTTGTTCTAGTTCTCAGTTCTGTAGTTTGGTGTAGGTTTCAGTCTTTATTTCTTAGTTGTTGATGTACGTTACTGTAACTGAGCACATGGAAAAGTAATATTTTAATAACTAATCAAATATGAATGTTTGCAGCAGTCGTATCATAAAAGTTAAAATAAGATAACAAGGAGCGGTTAGTACACGTTTCCGCCTTATATATATTATATATCTGTTACTTCACTCATATGCAAATAAGTCGCATACGGTTGTGATAAGCTGTGATTGCTTCCTTGTCTTGCTACATATCAAACATGTAGGATACTACTATGTGTAGTGGGGGAGAAAAAGAAGACTTGTTACATCTATATAATGGCCTTGAATATGGGGATATAAATAAAGGGGAGTCCATTGAAGACTGGAAATGTGACGATTCCAAGTTACTTAAAATTGCTTCCGACCACGTGAGGAAATTACTAAAATATAGGGATCAAAGAATAAGATTAGCAGAATTAAATGCTGGAGGTACAAATTAATGAAAATGATGAGATGAAAGTTCGCATTCCCAGAATATCCTCGCACCTTCACCAGAACTGATGCCTTGTGAAATACAAGAGTGGGACAATATATACGATACGATACGAAACATTGTGTACCGTATGTGTCTCCATGTAATCTTTCCATGGTATCTTTTTGAAACTTTAGTTCGTATCGAAAGTTCTCGTATTAATATATGATACCACATATTACAAATTAATCACTATTGTCGCCCGCATAAAGGGTGGTCCAAGTATGTGCTCTTGGTAACATACTACGTTTCACCTGTTAGATGTAAATAATTTCATGATAATATTATAATCCACACGTGTGTGTCAATAAAATGTGTTTTTAATGCACATCAGATAATTTGAAGGTTGTTTTACATTACATATGAACTTTATTTGAGTAAAATAGCAATGCTTGCTGTTGGCTGCGAAGGTGATGGAATGCTTAAACGATTGGATGCTTAAACCACTGGACCAGTGTAGCTTTCAAATTCGTGATATCAAGATGCATGAGTTATTAATTGTAGGTGAAGTTAGAAGCCTAATCGTCAGCAAATTACACCCGTTTATTATCAATCTTGGATTCCTTGTTTTCTCACTCGATCTGATGTATGACTTTTATAGCTGCTTTAAATATTAATACTGTAAAGACAAATCCCCCAGCTAGGCCACGTGGCAAATCACAACCGCCTGTATGTAAGTACGCAATCTCGTGCATGTAAGTAAAAATGGTATATATAGCTGAGTTCGAGTGAGTTCGAGCAGGTTCCGTTGTATGAGAGGGGCGTGTGATTATAATACAGTGTCTGCTGACCAGTGTCTGCGACCAGCAGAGCCGTCAGTGGTAGACTCTGGCCAAACCTCGACCTCTGTCAGCTAGCATATATATCAAGAGCTAATAATATTATTGCTAAAGGTATAAGCTAAAGGTATAATATTAAGCTAAAGGTATTATTAGCTCTTGATATATATATATATGTGCGTGTCATGTTCGTCTTTATCAAAAGAGCTGCTACACTTACCCAGTCGCGGCGGTTAGTCCTGTGTGTTTTTAACTATGCACGCGAGTAGCTAGATAGCTCTAGAACTAAAGCCCTTCGCTCAGCCACAGACCTGAGAGCTAGTAGGTAGAACAGTCTAGGGTCTGGTTCCGGGGCTATTTTGCAGCGCTGTCCGTGATCGCAGACGAGTGAACGGATGAAATCTGCTAATCGAGAACTACCCCGCTTTTCTGTCTGGCTTCTTATGTCTGGTCTCTCTTCTTACTCGTTACTAAATCACAGTCGGTTGGGAGGCAAGCAAGTTCGGCTAGGCATCCATACTTGTTACTGTTCTCATGTGTGATTGCCAGGCGATTACTTAATCACTTCAGTAGTTGAGATTTGAATTTAGAATTGGACATTCAGTAATATGCTCAATTATTGTACCAGTCGGCTATTGCTTTTGGAATTAAAATAATTGTATACGTAATATTTAAAAAAAAGTGACCTCCACGTAACTATAGTTTAGAAAATTGCCTGTAGATTTGGTCTAGCTGTAAAACGTTGCTGTATCATCCTGCATTCCTAGTTTCGTTTCTGGCTAATATCAACCCAGGGTGTCCAGTGAAACCCTTGTCAAAAGCTTCAGTGAGAGTAAGGATTTGTGGCCGCTTCCAGGAAAAGCTGCTTTAAACCTTGAAATTTAGTTGAAAAGTGCTTGTCTGTATTGCCCTGTTTTTCTATGAAAACGAATGTCATAGAGCAAAGTCAAGGCATTTGCGGGATATATGGCAAGGCAGCGAAATGTTAATGACTTGCTATTAAACCACATGTTGGTACTAACGCTGAGAGGGTCTATGTCCCCCAGTGTACTGCCGGTGTTGCCAGGGTTCCCTAGACACCTCCTTCACATAATAGCTATGTATCTCACCTTAACTCTAAAACACTCTTGATTCAGTGCTAGGGGGGGGGGTCACCCCATCACTGTTGTGTTGGCAAGCGATCCAGTCTGGCTGCGGGCTGATGACGCAAGGTCAAGCAAGGACGAGGCCAAGGGCAAAGATCGCACGCAACACGACCATGATTGGAGTCGCGCGGCTGCAGGAATGCCATGCTGCGGCGGCTGGTTAAAACTATCGTGCAGCTCTTCGTTGCATTAATATTGCCCAGCGATGGAAAGTCTTTAGTCGTAGGTTGCAATGGTGGGCCGAATGAACCGATAAGCGACAGTGTTTACTTGTGGTGGCAGTTGAAGCTGAGGCCGCTATTTGGCGGACAACTCGGGAGATAGCGGAGAAGATAGCGAACGGCCGTTCGTGAAACGCGCCCCCAGCCTGCTACGAGGAGGGGGGGGGCGCTTGCACTGGCTGACACGTGCGCATGCGTGCTCAGCGGCGCATTCGTTAGTAGCACCGGCTGGCTGCGGTCCGTTGACCTGCCCGGCAGCCGAACATTCCCAGGGCGAGAGGGCAAGCTTTCGTCGGGTCTATTTCTAGGGCACCTGGGTGCAAGCGAGGTGTAGGGAGACCGAGGAATGCCGGGTTTCCTACACAGAGCCTTCCCTCCATTGCTGAATTACATAATGCAATGAAGTTTGGTTTTATTCTGGTATTATTGGGCTCATCTTAGATGAGGGACAAAGCGTCTCTATTAAGGAAAGAGTTTGCTGAGAACCTTTTAGTAGGATGTTAGCGATCGCGTATTATATATATATACGATATATAAGGGCTTCCCTGATTTCGCACTCTCCCAATGGATGCTTATATCCCAGTGATAAATTCGATGCGTAGCGGTCACACTGTCAGTAAGTACTACGCATCTCCTGACCATCCCGAAAACACGTTACTCAACGTTAATCAAACTTACGTACTCAACGTTACTCAAACTCCGGCAGTGGCAGTAATTGATGTGATTGTGCGCAATCGATCGGCCCCGGTAACCCGTCAGGACGCGTCAGGCTCTGTGTCCAGCTTCGATGCGCAATCTTTTGTCTGCCCCGGGAATCTAAGTCGAGTCGTACGTGACTGAATGTACGAATCGTATTTTAATGGCTCGCAGCGTCTCTGGCTCTCTACACCTGTTGACGCAGTCACGTCTGTTAGCTACATGCTTCTCAACCTGTATTGTTTGTTATCTGCGACACTATTGACTGTATCTATCTGTATGATACATATCTGGCCCACCTATATCCATAGATTTGTTTTATTATAGCAACTCGTTGAGTAGATTGGAGAGATTTTACGGGGCAAAAGCTGGCGCGCATACCAAGTGGGCTAGATAATGAATATTTCGCAAGGTTTACAAACCTGGTAACATCTGTGCAGAGTGATCGCGTTAGGCGAAGCAATAAGTCTATCGTGTGAGCTCGGTTCACGTGCCTACGGTTTTTCATCTTCTAATTTAGAATATAACTTTCTAAAAAGTTTTTGTGAGCTTTGAACTGAATATGTTTTGAGGTGTTGAGGCTGCGGGAATGGTGAATGTCATAGAGATGGAGACGCTACCCAACATAGATGCTTGCTATATAGCGTGATTATCTTACCAAGTGTTATTTATAATTTGGAACTTCACCATATTTCAGTTCGTTGGTCATTTATTTATGTGTTTTTAGCTCAGCTGACGAAGTCAGATGCAGCTTGTAGAATCGCATGATTGTCCGTGCGTCCGTCCGTCAACAGTTGGGCACAAATCTTAACCGCTCGACGTACGGTCTTGATATTCGGGACGTAGGGGGGGGGGGTTGTGAAAAGGACTCGGGATGTCGAATTTGGGGGTTCAAGGGTCAAAAGTCAAAGGTCAAGATGTGTCAATGGAGGGGGAATATTTCCCCCTTAACTTAAGGTATAGGAGGAAATACGGAATTGCGGCACAAATTTCAACGGCTCGACCTACGCTCTTAAGATTCGATGTATAGTGTGATGGGGAGGAAACCCATCACCAGCGCGAAATTGGGGGTCACAGCTGAAAGGGCAGTGAAGGAAAGGTCAGATATCAGACATTTTCTGAGGACATGGTCTAACGG